GCCCTCCTCGCGCACTGACACTTTGAACCCAGTCAGCACATTCTTGTACTTATCAGGGTCCACCTGCAGCCGGCACTTCACCAGATCCAAGGGAACCACAGCGGTGTGAGTTATACCTATAAATAAATTATAAAAAAAAAACAAAATATAGACAAATTCAATAGAAGCAAATCTAAATCTTTATAAGTCTTTAAACACAGACTTATTACAAAATAGACATGTTTGTGTCGAGAATATTACTAATTTAAACAAAACATTATAAATGCGAATGTTTAGATGTATGTTTGTTAGAAGGTATCTCCAGAACCGCTTTATAGATCTCGCTGAAATTTGGCATAGATGAAGAACATAGTCTTGAAAAACACATAGACTACTAATTAAGTTTCTTTTTAATTCCACGCGAACGTAGTCGCGGGCGACAGCTAGTTTAACAATAAACCGATCCAAAAAGTAAATAATTGTCAGCCAGTAACTGTAATTAAGATTTCTCATTTCCATAAAATACTAAAAAAAACCTATATTAAATGGTCTACTAGTTCTAGCCCGCGACTTCGTTTTTTATGTTAAGGGACACTTAATTCTATCTATATTATTATTTCGAATTCCAACCACCGCTACAAAACAACAGTGTCAAAATGCTGAAAATCAAATACGCACAAAAACTACGTCTTATAACCAGTCCATTTATAGAGGGTCAATTGTTTGGATCCAAAAGCAATATTAAATACAGGAACGTCAAATTCTACAAATACCGGTCAATACATTTGAATTTTTTTGGGTTCGTTTAATTTTCTAATCCTAGTGGATCCAGTTTGTCTATGATGTAAGGATTAAATTGCTACCAAATATACGTATTGGTATTGGTACATAGAAATAGTACACGACAGATATACAAGGTTACATGTTACAAACTCTGGAGTACTGCCAACTCTAAACATTGATAGATCTATGTAACACAGGTCCGGCGTTAGGGTAGGGCGCGGGTAAACAACCGCCCAGGGCACAAGACAGTAAATAAGTCAAGGGCATAAGTCGTGAGGCGAATTGCAGTCTTACATAACCCTGTACCCATATGTACATTTATCGGTCTTACTGTGAAGGAAAACATCGTGATGCTGCACATATCTGAGAAGAAATTTAAAGATATATTTGAAGACAAGCAACCCGCACTTGTCCAGCGTGGTTGACTATGGCCTAGTCACCCTTAATTTAGGGTAGGCTCCGAGCTCCTTGGTAAGGACGTATAGTGAGCTGATGATGAACAACATTCCCTAAAAGACATGGTAAAAAAAGCGACGTAAAATCTTGAACCAAAATTCCCGTAATATGTTTTATATAGAGACAAGCTGTCGCCCACAATCCAGCAGCGTGGAATTAAAAGATATATATATATCTGGTAGTCTATGTGTTCTTCCAGACTATGTTCTATATGTATGCCAAATTTCATCTAGATCCGTTCAGCCGTTCTGGAGATATCTTATAATGTAGACACAATCGAGAGTGATTTAATTTGACGTGATTGCGCAATTGCTTGTTTGCTTATCACAAACACTTGTAATAATCACCGGAGCTCTTCAAACTTGCGCAGCCTTATCATATAACGAGTAGAAATAAATATTGTAGACATTCCCTTTGAAGTTAAAACCAAATACACAATTATACTAAGGTGTGACCGCGACTCCGTTAAGCTGTTCCGGAGATATCTTCAAACATACATCCATCTAAACATTCGCATTTATAATATAAGTAAGATTGTTTCTGCGGAATTTTTGTAATATTCAAATCAGGTCAAAAAGCCCTCAGCTCTCATAATCTATGGGTCATTGGGCACCTCTGCGGTGTAGATGGAGGATCGAACACGCAGCCCGCTGGACAGAGTGACCTTGTGACGTCACTGAACGATCCTCCCCACACCGCAGCCCCCCTCCAGCATGAGTTGTCATCATTGGGCAATAACAATGCTACTTTTGACAGCTTGAAGAAAGCAAAATTGTACTATTTTTTAATTTATTAAAAATAACTCAAAAACTACTTTCTAATTTTTCAAAAATTGTAACCAAATTACACGCAACACTTTTATAATCAAAAAGAATTATGAAACTGACAATCTGGAAAGAAGTTTTGAAGTAACAAAAAATATATACACAAGAATTGAGAACCTCCTTTCAGAAGTCTGTTAAAAAGTATTAAAAAACTATGGAAGGTACATACCACAGGATAAGATGCCTCCCAGACCGCAAAGGGCGAAGTACTTGGACGAGGCGAACTCGCAAGAGTCGCCCTGCACCGCCGTCGCTGCAGCCATGCCACTCTGTACATAAATTCCATATAAACTATCTTTTTAAATGTCAAAAAAGTGTCATCAGTTAACAAAGATATGTTACGGATATCCAATCACAGTTGTGGGTTAAATAAAAAAAATTACTATTATATTTATAGTGTTAGAAAGAAAATCCGACACAGTGCCGGTGTATCGGTGCAACGCTAACCTTACTAAAATGTCGACGTTTATGTCCCCTCACTAATCATTCTGACACTTGACTTCGTAACGAAAGCACGCCATTCGCGCCAAAGGATTCTAATGTTTAAAAATATTTTTTTTTCTGATAAGGTAGCAAACAAGCTATTGACCACAAGAAATAGCGAGGCGACCATTGCCCATAGACATACGCAATTGCATATGCGTTGTTAACTAACATTTTTTCAGTCTGTACAAGACTTTTATGAATTAAGCATAATTTTCCCTCAGATCTCATAATCCTTTGATCATTGGGCATCTCTGCAGTGTTGGCTGAACACGCTACCAAAGAGGTAGAGTGACGTGATGACGTCACTGTACCAGCCCTCGCTGCAGCGTCCCTCTGGCATGAGTTATCATCATCGGGCAAAAAATATATAATTTATTATCATACAGTATATAACTAAAGATGTGTACTAAATGTCAATCTTGATAGATTACATAACACTCCCTGTTTAAACAGAAAGTTAATCAATTTTTAATCACTAGACTTGACTAAAAAAAAGTGTAAGTAAATATATAGGTTAGTTTATAATATTATATAATAATCCCTCACAGTATCTTTAACTAAAATAGAGATAATATATTTTATGCAGTTATTTTGGTATCAGATACCAACAATTAAATATATAATAACATAGGATTAATATATAGTAGGCAATTCTCAGAGCTACTAAATATATATATAAAATATAAAAATTGTTCAAACCTTATCATAGGAGTATGGTAACTAAAATTGTGACATAACACAGAGATAACAATGTTTTAAAAAAGGATTTTAATCTCAGAAACCAACAATTAAGTATATAATTATATAAGACTCCGTCCGCGTGGATAAAAAAAACTTAATTAGTGTAGCCCATCCATCCATCCACATCACACCATCTAAATATTTACATTTATAATATTAGTAAGTTAAATAAAACGTAGCTCAAGGCTTCAAGACGTAAATTCGAAAAAAAATTGAATAAATAGTATCCTATGTCCATCTCCTGGCTCTAAGCTACCTCCTCACCAATTTTCAGACATATCGGTGAAGCCGTTCTTGAGTTATAAATAGTGTTACTAACACGACTTTCTTTTATATATATATATAGATTAGTAAGATACATGAAGAGATGAACTTTTTAACATGACAGGTTGAGAAGAGGATGTTACCTGTTCAACTTGTGGTGCGGCGATGGGCTCGCACTGCGCGGGGGAGAGTGGGCCACGGAAGGGCGAGTTCCGCGCCACGTCCAACAGGGATGAGAACATTTTACTGAAAACACAACACATTATTGTAGAAACTGTCAAATTGTATTGATTTTTTTATTTCATCTAATTTGGTTTTCTTTCAAGTAAAATAACTTAGAAAAAATCAAACAGACAATTTGATTATCTCCTCCTTTTAGAAGTTGGTTAACCCTTAATTCGATGGTGTCCAGTATGACAAACAAATAATTAAAAAATAATCTCCCGAATTAGAGAAAATTGTGTAAGTATGACTTTACTAAAAAAACTGTGTTTTTGTTACAAAAAATTTCATCAAATTAAGGGTTAAAAAATAGGGTTTAAATTGATTTAAGAAAGTAATTGGTGGTAGAATTGTTGTTAATATATTAAAATAAATAAGTGCTGGGTTTAGGAAAAACTATATGGATTCTGTAATACAGCACATTGTATAAATAATCAAAGCAAAACCATAGTAAGGATCCAAGAAGTAAGGAAGTTTTTAATAAGTTGATATACTTTAAATGATTTAAATCCAAAACCCGAGAACAAAAATTCATTGTATTTTTGTGTAATACAAAAATCTTACATATTTCATACAATTGCCATAGACAATGATGGTATTCTTTGATCTTGTTAAAAGGGGGTAGACAGTGACATGCCATGTGTTAGTTATTTTAGAATTCTCACTTTTAAGAAAAAATATAAGGGTATAGCTTAAATTCATTTCGAGACTTAATCAACGTTTGAAAAATAAAAAACATAACTTAAGATCGAGAATTAATAAATATAGAAGTTTATTTCAAAATAGAATACAATTCTTCTTTTTAACATTGTTTGATGTCCTCAAGGAGGTTATAAATGCCAATGCCAGTGACATTCTTTTGTTACAATGTTAGGTAATAATGTAAAGTTGCTTTATATTTTCTTATTTAATAACATGAAAACCGCTGAATAATCTCTTATCTCACTATAGTTTGTATCCATCTTAACCAATCAATACCCGTTGCATGTAATCGATAAAAACGTCAATGCGGCCGTCTAGATAATCTAATTTTCGAATCATCAATGAACTGATAATAGTCTTATATTGATATCTTTTTAACAATGATTTAACAAAATCTGGAATCTCAAATAGAGCAAGGTCACGTGCAAATAATATTCTAATACGTTACGTAAGGTAAAAAAATTACCATTAAACCCTAATAAGTACACGTTTTGGTTGTAATTTGTTAAACATAATGCCGCAATTATTAATTCGGATTAGTTTTTATATAGGAAAAGGAATATTTAAGTACTTACATGTCTTAAATCCGATGGAAATGTAGAACACACCACACCGCGCTTTTTGCACAGTGCTAAAGGAACTAAGCTGACGACGCAAGCGCCATGGCCATGTCAGATTGTCAGATGTTACATAATCACGTGAAACTTTTGACAGGAATCGGGATACCATATTAAAAAAAGTATCCGTTAATAAAGTTAAAGAAAGGTAAAGAATTTGGTATTTTATGGACAATGAAAATAAAGAATTTAATCGCACTTTTGTAATGGGAAAGGTAATCTTATAAAGTTGTATTTTGTAAAAACACGTCACATGGTGCACTATACTACAGAGTTTCATGGAATGTCTTTTATGGTCTTTTAACGAATTTATGTCCTGACTGAGCAGTTGCAGCAATACAACAGGGACACGGAATAGACTAAGATTTCAAAGTCCTACGTCTAGTATTTTTTTCCTAACAAACAAATGCAACAAGGAAGCGTGCCAAGAGATTCCAATTCGTGTATCCTGGAAAAGTATACACTTTAAATTCTATTCGCAATGGGTTTATAGACACTTTTATTATAATAGTAAATATTATACTGTATTTAATACAGATAAATAAATTACTTATTCCTATTATATTATCTGATGAACAATTGTTGCTGATTGTGATGATAAAGGTGAATTAATTCGTATTTATCACAATTTATAAGAAATTCGTCTTTTCAACATCACATCACGTGGTGTGTCTTAATTTTGGGTGGCCTTTTTTTGGAGCTGATAGATGGCGATACAAGTAGCTTTAAAAATAATTGGAATCATAATGTGACAAGCTGCCTATCAGAAAAGCAAAGGCAATTAAAAAAAATATTTATGTGTGACTTATAAAAACTAACATCGTATTCAAGATTACATAATTATCAATTGTTATGTTATGAATTTTTTTATCAATTTTTAGGTTCTCTTAAAGTTTTTACTACTCGACACTAGATGGCGCATGTTGTACGCAATTATGGATCTTAAGTAGACTATGTACTTTTACAAAAAGCTCCATTATACGAAATCTAGTGTCACCAATACACGAGTATATTAGCTTTACAAATAACTAGCTGTCGTCTGTGACTCAGTCCTTGAGGAATTAAAAAAAAACTTGATAAGTAGCCTGCTCTTCCAGACTATGTTCTGTATCTATGCCCAATTTCAGGCCATCTGAAGATATAACAAACAGATATGTAACAAATATCCATAATAATAATAATAATAGATTTTTTATAGTTTTCTTCTATAATCTATGACAGTAAAAAGAAGAAAAGACGGAATGACAGACGAGTCAATCAAATCATCATATCAAAAAACATCGCACACAAACCACCCAAAACTTACAGTACAAAAATGACAAATAAATAAAATAGAAACATGACTAACAAATTACTCAGATTAACAAATAAAATATTAAGGTAAGTAACACTGGTACGTTAGCAGTCGCGTGCGGCTAGAGTCGTGCAGTTAGACACATAGTGGAAAAGGGGTCTTACGTCTACTCTTATGACTAAGAATAGCAATCAGGAAACAAATTTTACTTATACATAAATAAATCTACCTATTGTATTGAGAAGATTCAGAAGTCATCTCCACTGTTTGTTCAAGAGCTTATAAGCTCCTTTAAAAGACTGCAGAGGGCGTTTCGCTAATTAAATCTTTATGTATTTTTTTAGATATATAGCGGCCTAAACATATCGTCCAGCTCGAGGAAATGCCTCAGCAAAAACACAGGCGACGATGGCGCAGGAAGGGCATGTGCTGCATGCCGGCGCCCCGGCCCTGCATCGACAGCATGCCGCGCCGCTGCATGCCACACTGCGCCGTCTGCCCGCCCTGTCCCTCCGCCCAGCACATCACCGCCTCCAGCTCCAGCCACTCCGAATGCTCCTGCGAAGAGGAGAAATTCTGCACCGTAGACAGCTGTAAAAACGCTCCACAATGCATTACGGCAAAACTAAAGTACTGCCCGTACGGCTTTAAAGATAAATCCGGTTCAGATCTGAGACCAGATCAAGCACACAGTAGAGAGATGCTTGAATATCAGCCGTCTCAAGAAAGAGAAATGAGAGCACAATATCCACAAGCCGCTTCCACACCTTATATGCAACCGCAAGCACAACCAGGAGGGCAACTCACACCGGAATTTGCACCAAGCGGGTATGCGTCAGTTCCCACAATATCTTCAATACACAGTAGAGCTCCGGATCAGTTTGATCAATCAATGCCGCAATACGTGCAGCAAATGCCCGTGGACGCTGTGCAGGGGCCAATAATGCAACAAGATTTTGGACACCCCGGATCTCAAGCTCAAATGCAAGGTAGAATGACTCCAATATCTCCCGAATCTCAGGCTCAAATGCAAAGCAGAATGATGCCTATATCTCCGGAATCCCAACCTCAAATTCAAGGGAGAATGATGCCAATATCTCCCGAATATCAGGCACCAATGCAAGGAAGAATTATAGCAATGCCTCCCGAATCCCAGCCTCAAATGCAACAGAGAATGATGCCAGTACCACCGGAATCTCAGGCGCAAATGCAAGGGAGAATGACACCAATATCTCCCGAATCTCAGGTTCAAATGCAAGGAAGGATGATGCCAATACCTCCGGAATCCCAACCTCAAATGCAACAGAGAATGATGCCAATATCTCCTGAATCTCAGGCTCAAATGCAAGGGAGATATATTCCAATATCACCCGAACCTCAGGCTCAAATGCAGCAGAGAATGATACCTAGACCCGACACTATGCCATCACCAGTATCTGTTACAAGTGGACCGAGCATTCAAATTAGGACAGCAGATCAGTTTCAACCGTACTACACCCAACCACAGGACACAATGCCGAGTTACGACTACCCCGCTACGAGACGACCTATCCCCGTTTCACAAGAGGAGGGCTACATGAATATTCCACGAGCCGAGAAACAAGTAGGTGGGTATTCTCCTGCGCAATACAGCTTGGGTCCAGCTCCTGAAGATTCAATTTATCCCAGCGGTCCACCACCGCCTCAATTTGATCCTGGCCAAAAGTATTCTTTGTCCGCAGTATCATCGGCGGATAGAATGAAACCAAGACCTATCATCATTCAAGATGAACCAAGAAGAATGCCACAATATACATCGGCCACAGAATATGTTCCCTCAGACAGGCCACTTGCACCATCGCCGAGGCCGCCTAGAGTACAACAACCCGTTCCTGAATCTTCTTACGTCAGATACGTTTCAGAATCACCGACTTCGCCAGCGCCATCGGAGAGAATACCAAGCTCAAGACCCGTGTCGACAGAGGGACTGGCTAGGACTGTGTACCGTCCTCCATACCAGGCTGATACGAGTATGGGCGTTCCGTACCAAGCCGATACTAGTAGGGGCGTTCCATACCAAGCCGACATCAGTAGAGGAGCCCCGTACCAAGCAGATACCAGTAGGGGTGTTCCGTACCAGGCTGATGTCAGCAGAGGGGTTCCATACCAGGCTGATATCAGTATGGGTACGCCATACCAGGCCGAAGCTCGTATGGGGGCCCCGTACCCAGCTGAGGTTCGCGCAGGAGCTCCATACCAAGCCGGTACTCGTACTGGAGCTCCATACCAGGCTGATACCCGTATGGGAGCTCCATATCAGGATACACGTACGGGGTATCAACCTAGTGTTGCAGCAGAGCCTGTTCCAAAAAAATCAGTGCACCACGCATTACCCGACACTACTTACGATACATCGCTGCCTCTGTCACCGTCAGCGCCAGAAATGGACGTTACAATGGACAGATCCAGAAGAGGATATCAACCAATGCCTAGTGGGTATGAATCTGCAATGGAATCTCCGCCCACAATGGTTCAATCCCCCCCTTCGCGATATCCTATTGGTCGACCACTGGCTGAAAGTACATCTATAGGGAGCAGTAGAAACATCCCAATGGACTACAGCGCAGGACCCCCGCTTTCCCCACCGACGTCGATGCGCACAAGCGAGCAGCGGCCTACGGCGACGGACGGCCTACACAAAATATCTTACCGCGGTCCATCAACTGGATATAACAAGTTCTGTAAAGAACCCCCGCAGCCGGAGTACGTCGATAAATCTGTCGGCTTCGAATATCCAGTACCACAAAGTGAGTTAGGTGCGTCTGACGAGACTCCTCCAAAATGTTCCTGTCGCTATCCCCCAGCGTTCAAACATCTGGAGTGCGCCGGCCTCATGAGCGGCACCTGCGAGTGCAATGAAAATGATTTGTAAGCATACTAAATAAAATTTTAATTGCAATAACTGAAGTCATAATCGTCCAAAAATCCTGTTAAATATTCTTTACTTTATTTGTAATAAAAATATTTGACGAAAACTATTTAATTTTTTATAAGAGAAAGCATAGATACTGCGAATCTGTGATGAAAAAGATGTCCACTTCTTGACATTGACAGTTGATTGACAGTCAAGTCTTGGTCAAGTCAACATAAAATTTAAAAGTTTTATCCATATTTTCATAATAGTGTATTTTATTTATCGTAATGGAAGCAGACTATATACACGAAGCTCTTAAGCCGATTTCATGGCTCGCCGGCCGCTGGTATACTGTGACTGGCCGTGGTTCTTATCCAAATGTACGAGAATTTGGATACCATGAAGAATTAGAATTTATTTGCCTTGGTATGTTTACAATACTTGAGTTACCTTTCTTTAGAATATCAGTAATTAATCTAGTATCATATTAACATTGTATCTAACATAAATGAGTAATGAAATACATAATCATCGTTATTTTTTGCATTTCAGGTCAACCTATGTTCAACTTTCTATCAATATCCCATCATCCAGAGAAGGGCACAGCGATGCATCAGGAGCGAGGTTTCCTGCGTATACTCCCCGAAAAAGAGAAAGTTGCTCTTGTAGTGAGTCATAACATTGGCCTTACTACTATTGAAGAGGGCCACTATGATTCTAATCTGAAGGAAATCAAGTTAGCCTCAGTCAGTATAGCACGGACATCATTTTCTAAGCCTCCACATGTTACAAATTTATTAAGAGAATTTGTTTTACTATCACCTGATACTTTGCAAGTGACTGTATTTATGAAGACTGATAAAAAACCTCTAAGTCAACATTTAAAGGCTGTTTATAAGAAAGTAGAATAAGTAGTGAAATTTACTCTATGGACACAACTTTATGATGTTTCTCACAAATACGTTATTTCGAATTTTAACTGAAATTATACTAGTCTGTATATAAAAAAAAACTTCTGACCATAGAGATATTTCTGTTTGCATATTTGCTCTGCATACATTTAAACGGTACAACCAATTTTGATGGGACATTTTTTTCATAGATCTCATGATCTACCAAGTTGTCAGTTTATAATATTAACTAGACTCCCGACTAAATTAACAGTAATTTCTCAAGAGTCTATTGTACTGTAAAATCTTAATCATAGTATTTTTCTTTTGTATTATTCATGGTTAATTTATAAGCACGTCATTTGTAGTTTCTTTTTTAGAACATGTCTGATATTTAGAATCACAAGATTTACAGCTTGAATATTTTAAAGGTAAATTATATCTAGATTTTTAACGGCAACTATAAGCATAACTCTATTCAATACAAAGTAATTATTAAGTACAGTTGAACCTAGATAAGAATCATTGTTCCGTCTTAACGGATGACTGCCATAAGCAAGAAACTCGGGTTAGAGTGTAACTATAGATTGGAAATATATAGCAGGCTTTGGATTCTCACTTATATAAGTTCAACTGTATTAAATCCAGGTCAAATATATGGTGGCTACAATAATTAAAATATTTTATTTAATATGTAAAAAAATGTAATAGTGATATTGTTAAGTTTTATAGTTTATATAAGAATTAAATATTTGAACAAAGATTTTTAATACTGTAATTCCCCATAAACCCATCCTACTTCCGTTAGCTTGATAAACAGGCGTGCTGGAAATTTTTGGATGTTAGAAGGTATCTCCGGAAGGGTTACATTGATTTCACTAAAATTTGGCATAGATGTAGAACATAATCTAGACGAACTCAGAGGGTATAAAGTTTTTTTTTAATTCCGCACGGATCGAATCGCGGGCGACAGCTAGTTGGGTGGCAACTAAATTTCTGTGATTGAATATTTTTTATTTAGGAAAAAACATAACATGGACACTTAGTTACAATGGTGACCTGATTTTAAATAATTACATAGATATAATAATTAAAAAAAACATGCATGTAAAATAATATGAGACATATATACTCGGAAACCAAATTTTTTCTTGAAGATTTTAATACATCACATCTCATGTTATTTTGCACGCATAGTACATGAAAACTTTTATTGTTTCACACTATTATAATAATCAAAGATTTAGTAATGTATCGGGAAGTAATACAATTCTTCTTGTTTACATTCTTTAAAAAAAGAAATTTCTTACATAAAATTGTGTTAAGTATACTAAACATTTTTTTTCTATAATTAAGTTAATTTGGAAGGGTCATATCACACAAAGTATCATGTTTGGCAAGCCAGGAATAGGAGTTCTCTGTTCGACATGCCAACTCTAGCTAATACTTTGATTCTATTATATGAAATGAGGGGCAAAAACACTGTAATATAAAAGAAGCCATCAATGCCTTGCAAATTTGCAACACAAGCTGCAATTCTTGGCAAATGTCAATTGGTTTGAAAATAAAAATATTCATGAATAATTTATGACTTTTTTTATATTTTTTTTAATCAGGACCAATATCACAACCTTATGGAATAGTACAAACTTGGAAGTTATTTTTAAATAAAAAAAAGTTTAGTTTTACAATAATTGAAATCCCTTTACTTTATTATGTTAAATAAGATATAGTGTTACTGTAAAAACTGTTGTTTGGTTTTAAATTAACATGTTAAACGCCACTCTGGTCACCGATGACCTGATCCCTGTCGGCATTATAGGCCACCTGTGACATAATTTTTGGTTTATATGTGGAACCCAGGTTCTGATTGAACCCTATATCAGATATACTTTGAAGATTCGACATTACGCATCTATTTCCCGCAAAAAAGTTTTTAGTGATTTTTTCTATTTCTACTATGGCGTTTAACATGTAAAAATATTAGCAGACTTGATAATTTTTACAAATATTTCTTGTAACCAACCAACAAAAGGATTGTGAGTGTATATAGTGGAATACAAACCCACAATCATGAGATCGGCTGTACCCTTAATCAATTAATATTTTAGGAGGTTGGGAGTTCAAAATATTGCTAAAAACATCACATGATCCATTAAAATGTTGGAATTGTTACTTATAACATAGCAAAATGTGTTTTCTAAATTAATTTATAGCTTTGTCACTATTAAAGAGCTTAGAATTAATTTTCACCTAGCTATATCAGTAGAACCTCATATACTTGAACTTCAACTTAGCTAAAAGATAAGTCTGAGTTTATATTTATTTAATTTTATTAGTCCTGGAGCCCAAATTTTAGTCTTCTTACCCTTCCCACCCTCTTGTAAGGAAAGGATGGGAAGTAGAAGTGGATTTTCTGGATGGAGTGGACTTGAGTCAATGTAGGAAACACAACTGCAATTACGTATGTCTATGGGCAACGGTCGCTTCGCTATTTCAGCGTTTTTGTTGGCCGCTCGCTTGTTTGCCACCTTATGATATACATAACATAAATTTGACTAACATAACTAAGGTTTGGAAAGGGTCAAAGCTTATCAAGTTTTTAAAGCATGGAAGTTCATAATATAGATATTCTACTGTTTTACTTACTTAACCCACACTATTATGTGTAACAAAGATAATTAAACGAAATAATGTGGTTTCTTAGCTGTAATGCCATACTCTTGGAGTGCAGGCACCAGATCATCCATGGTCATAACATACTTCTTCTCTTTAGGTCCCTTCTGGTTCTTAGAGCTCTGTGTTACTTGACTGTTGGTACGCATTTTGCAATGCTGCAGCGCATCATTGGCGATATCTGAAAGGTACTTTTGAGCTGCTAGTGCTATAAGTCTTATTAATCTGAAATTTAATAATAAAATATAGGTTTAAAATATCTAAATGTTATTGATGTATAATAAAGGAGTGAAGAATTGCATGTGGCAAGGAGAATGTTAAGTATGAATTTGGCGGGGTACAATGATAGTGAAAATTCAAGCTCAACCAGGAATATAAAACCCTCACCATACTGCAAGTAAATATGGAAGCAATCCTTTAACCTCATTAATAATGAATTGATCGAAGCGCCCCCCTGCCACTGTGTTTATATTCTAAGGTATGTTATATTGTTACATAGGAAATAAGGTAGAGGTCATCATTGTTTTACAGTAAAAAAGATTGTATAATGGTTAGGCTTAATTAATATGAAATGATTATCACCTTTGATCTTGTGATTCAAAGCCAGATGCATTCAGATAATATGCAACAACAAATTCTGGAATTGAAGAATTGTAGTTTTCCAGTTGCATGAGAAAGTCACTCAAGGCATGGCCGGCACCGTTGTCTGACTCCATTCCGACAGACGGAGATACCATACTATTGACCTATGAGTTTAAACGTTCTTTTAGTAACTTTAATTAAATAAAAAACAATTATTCCAATAATTTACCCACTTCAAACACTTGACTTATTGTTGTCAAAGATTATATCAGCATCAAAACCTGCTTAGTGTTTTCCACAGAATATAAAAATTGCTAAAAATCCAATTTTCTTTTGGTAGACAGATTATACTACGCCAGATTTCATTTTATAGAAGTGCCAACGTTATCGACTTCACGATGATGCGGCAATTTCTTCGATTCTCCTTCGTTGGTACATGTGGCAACACTGCATTTGTGCGTTTCTAAACTGCTTAAAATCTATTGTAATTTTAATTTTCTAATAATTGAAAACCTATTTTGTTTAGTACAAAACTACCACTAAATTATTCGTCTACAATTTTTTCCTCTATCATTCAAAACAATACACATTTATAATCAAATTTGGAAACCCAAAATAAGTGTGGTCAAACAATTGAAAATCAAAATAATAGCGACAATTTCACATTTCACCTAACAAATATAATTAACACAAAAAATTCTATGTGTTAGTGTTACCTATTCAGTTCCATTTACAAAACGCTAATTCTGACCACAATTCTTTTATTTCCATAATTTCAATGCTTAATTTTTGGGAATGATATAAAAAAAATCCTAAAAAAAAACAGTTATTTCGATGGATTTTTGCGGATGGCGTTTAGGCGTTTAGGTTGAGAATTTATTAATTCCACATAAACATTTATGTAGTTGAACTCACAAATTTTACAAATTTGCCGTCTTTTTTTTAAATTGAAGAAACCTTTCTTTAAGAATTTTTTTTCTGTTTCACACTATACATTTCTTGAATGTTAAAACCAACAAGTAGAAGAGACGAAAATGTTGGCCGAGTTAGTTAATTTAACAGCCACACTGACCTCGTGGTACTATGCGTTAAGTTGGCAACACCGACCCCTTCCTTCCTTCTTTTGCGCCGCTCCTCAAGCCAGAACAGCGAGAGAACGTGATCGATCGAATTTCAAAAAAGGCACACACCTACCCCTGTGCTCCCGAGATCACGAAATTACTCTATATCTCCTGATTACATAAATCGGGAGTTGGTGTTTCGTGGTTTTGCTATTCCGTGTGTGTACCGTAAAACCTTCACTTCGACGCTCGCATTTACTGCGTGAAGAGCCCATCAAATTCAACAAAATGTCGAACCTCGCCGATCCGGTTGCGTTCGCGAAGGACTTCCTCGCCGGTGGTATCTCAGCTGCCGTCTCCAAGACCGCGGTAGCACCCATCGAGCGTGTTAAACTGCTTTTGCAGGTACAGCACGTCAGCAAGCAAATTGCCGAGGACCAGCGCTACAAAGGTATCGTCGACGCCTTCGTCCGCATTCCCAAGGAGCAGGGATTGCTCTCATTCTGGCGTGGTAACCTCGCCAACGTCATCAGGTATTTCCCCACACAAGCCCTCAACTTCGCCTTCAAAGACAAGTACAAGCAGGTGTTCCTCGGTGGCGTAGACAAGCACACCCAGTTCTGGCGCTACTTCGCCGGTAACTTGGCGTCCGGTGGTGCTGCCGGAGCCACCTCCTTGTGCTTCGTGTACCCGCTCGACTTCGCCCGAACACGTCTCGCCGCTGATGTCGGCAAAGGCGACGGCCAGCGTGAGTTCACCGGCCTCGGCAACTGCCTCACCAAGATCTTCAAGTCCGATGGCCTGACCGGTCTCTACAGAGGCTTCGGCGTGTCCGTGCAGGGTATCATCATTTACCGTGCCGCATACTTCGGTTTCTACGACACCGCCCGCGGCATGTTGCCCGACCCCAAGAACACCCCCATCGTCATCAGCTGGGCGATCGCGCAGACCGTCACCACCGTCGCTGGTATCATCTCGTATCCCTTCGACACGGTCCGTAGGCGCATGATGATGCAGTCTGGACGTGCCAAGGCCGATGTCCTGTACAAGAACACTCTGCACTGCTGGGCGACCATCGCCAAGACCGAGGGTGGATCCGCCTTCTTCAAGGGCGCCTTCTCGAACGTCCTCAGAGGCACTGGTGGCGCCTTCGTGCTCGTCTTATATGACGAGATTAAGAAGCTCCTCTAAACATAGTGTAAGAATTGTTACCATTATTACAATTGTGATTCCGAATCACCTATGATAGCCACACCTTTGAAATCATGTATTATTAGAAGCGAAAAAACAACTCTTAGTAACTTATTTCTAGTTAAATAAAAGTGTTATACACTGATTCCAACTTATATTGTTTTATTAAAAAATTGAAGTTACATAATCGCTTATATTAATTAAAAGCATATTTGGAATATGGGATTTGTTCCAAATTTAAAATCTTTTTCTGTGATCACTATTGCTGCCAGTGATAGTTATGTAACCTCCATACATCTATTTGAGGACAAGGTTATATTATTTCCATCTAAACAATCCTCTTGTG